AAAGAACCAATAGATCTGTTTTGGAAGAAGTGCAGCCAGAGTGCTCCTTAGAGGCCTGGAAAGCTAAACTTCATCTCTCATACTTTGGACATATTGTCAGGAGGGAACAGTCACTGGAGAAGTATATTATGCTTGTAAGATGGAGGGTCAGAGAAAAAGACGAAGACCCCCAACGAGATGGATTGGCCACGTGGCATCATTGATGGACTCTCCAGGATCGGACATTGCTTCTTCTGCTGTACATGGGGTCGCTATGAGTCAGTTCTGACTCGATGGAACCTGACAACAACAACAACATATATGCATGTGAAAGTTGGACACTGAATAAGACAGACTGTAGAAGAATTAATGCATTTGAGTTATGGTGTTGGAGGAGAATATTAAAGTTACCATGGAATACCAAAAGAACAGACCAATCTATGTTGAAAGAAGTACAGCCAGAATGCTCTTTGGAACCCAGGATGGCCAGCCTCCATCTCTCATACTTTAAACATATTATCAGGAGGGACCAGTTCCTGGACAAGGACATGATGCTTGGAAAGTAGAGAATCAACTTAAAAGAGGAAATCTACAACGGGATGGATTGGCACAATGGTCGCAGCCATGGATTTAAGTGTTGCAACAATTGTGAGGTTGGCACAGGATTGGGCAATGTTTCGTTCTGTTGTGCATGGGCCACTATGAGTCGGTACTGGCTCTATGGCACCTACCAACAGGTTTGTCATTAACGTTTATAAAGTCAATTAGTCGCAACCTTTTTATAGAGAAAAATGGAGATTTGATTTAATATTATAGAATATTTTAGACTAAACGAGGTGCTTAGCATAGTCATTGTTAAGTGCTGCCAAGTTGGTTCTGGCCAATAGCAACCCTGTATAGGGTTTCTGAGGAGCGGCTCAGAACCACCAACCTTATGGTTCAAACTGACCTTGAAGTCTGTCGCAGTAACCCACAGCGCCATACCAGGCTAACTAAAAATGCAAATTGTATTTCTCACAGATTACTTGCCAATGTATACAAAGCACATAGCATGCTTAGGAAGCTAACTCATCAAGGGGTTGAGTGGTTTGGAAAAACTCACTAGTGTGCATTACTTATGTAAAAATAGAGTATTTGTGTCCAACTCTGTAATAGAGGAGAAATACTCACAAAATGCCTTTCATTTGTTACTTTCGACACTGACCTACATTTTTAGGTCATGGTTTTAAATGGTAGACTATTTTGAAGTAAATACTAATAAATAAAGAACAGCTGTGTTAATAACCTTCACATCTAATAGTAAACTGAAATAAAAGATTCATAAATCAGCAGAATACAATAAAGCTTTTGTACAATTTTACTGGTCTTAAAAATGGCATATTTTATGTTGTCACTTATTGTTTGATGAAAAATATAAAGATGAGTTAGAGCACCGAAATATTGTATTCTTCTCAGTTTATCAGGCCTGACAGGTGGCCCTTATCAGAGATCAGTGTCATCAGAGACATGGCCCCTAGTGTCTATAATGGTGTAGGTAGACTGGAACAGCAGAATATAATCATCATAATACTTCTCTTTCTGGCTCTGAGCCTTGAGTATAATGTGGTAAAATGATACAATATTCCATATATGTGTATATTCAATAATTTAATCTGGGTATTTCAAGTACAGTTCCCTTCTAAGATTGAGTTTTTAGATACGTCTTTCACTATAGTATTGTTTGGAATAACACATATTAAAGAACCAGACAAAGGGAAATAGAAACAGGAAAAATGAAGCACTATTAAAAAGAAATGAAACTTTGTTAGGTTTTTTTCTATACTGACTAGCCCTCCATCATCATAAACCTCCCCCAAAATAATTTTCTTTTGGCTGTCTGAATAAATAAATTGAATGATATTTTGAAAAAAGTCATTTGTTATTTTGTTTTTGTTAGAGTCTGTTCTGAATCATAGCCACTCTGTATAGGGTTTCCAAGGAGTGGCTAGTGAGTTTGAACTGCTCACCTTTAGGTTAGCAGTCCAAGACTCTACATTTGTTATTAGTTATTTAGAATTACTCCTTACTTCCTTTGTCCATAAGGTGAAAGTGTAGTTGGCTGGAGTTATCTTTACCTCTACATTTGTATTTCAGGACTTACTTTATTCAGGATAAATATGTGACTTTGTTTCCTTTATCCATTTAGCATTATTGCAATTTTCAAGTGATGAAAAACTCTTTCCATAAATGCCCATTATAGATAAGATGCGTGACTGTTGGTAGTTAGAGAATACAAAATCACTTTGTGGGTTTATGTTTTTCTGACAATGTATTCAGATGCCTACAAATAAGATAAAATAATAAAAAGTATCTCCGGCTGTGTATTAACTCAAAAAAGTAAATTCGTCAGCCAACCTTTGTCTTTAAGTCTAGGTGACACTCAGAGAAGCTTCAGAAGGTAAATGTTAAAATTTACCTTCTATTAAATATCCTTTACTCAGATAATACTTTCTTGTTAAACTGCTTTTAAGATAAAATCATGCTTCTTTATGTTAGAGATACAACTACAACAAATGCTTTGGCTATTTGATTATAAGATTAATAGCAGTGAAAAAGTAAAATTATGTGAGAAGTCTCAACTAAATAAATGTGCCTTTGAGTTTTTTGAAGATTTTATTGTTCTTCTTTAACAATGTTCAAATTGCTTAATTGAAATTCTGTTGTCTGTCAGTTTGTCATACTGTGATGGTTTGCAAGTTGCTATTATGCTGGAAGCTAAGCCACCGGGATTTTAAATACCAGCAGGATCACCCATAGTGGACACGTTGTAGTAGAGTTTCCAGACTAAGACAGTCTAGGAAGAAGAAAAAGGAGAGTACTTCTGAAAGTTTAGCCACTGAAAACCTTATTAATAGCAGCAGAACATTGTCAGATATAGTGTTGAAAGGTAAGCCCGTCGTGTTGGAAGTCACTCAAAATATGACTGCGTTTAGAGCTACCACCTCAAAGTAGAGTTGACCGTGATGATACAAATGTAGCAAACCTTTCAGGACTTAATTTACTGATTGAGCACAACTCAGCATGAGGAGAAGTAACTGCAAACATTCATTAATCATCACATGGAATGTCTGAAGTATGATTCTTGGAAAATCAGAAGTTGTCATAAATGAAATGTCTAAGATCCTCGACATTAGTGAATTGAAATGAACTGCTATTGGCTATTTTGGATCTGACAGTCATATGGTTTACTGTGTGGAACAACAAATTCAAAAGGAATGTGTAGTATTCCTCATAAAACAACAGAAAAAGAACATCACTCTCTTTATCTCTTTTTTTAAATTGTGAATTGAGTGAAGGTTAACGACAACATCATCAGCTTTACTATCAACCAGTCATACCTTTTGCTTCATCTCAATGATTACAATCCCCTCCCTGAAACAACAGTTTTCTGGCTTCCTCTCTGTGGCATCCCTTTTACATCTTATTTTTGACAGATCAACAAAGCAAAAACATGTGATGTTTTAAATAAATCCACGTGGCCAAGATACGACAAAACAAAAATACATACTCATTTAAATGTCTGAAGGTAACATTTTGGAAGCTTGCATCCTGCACACAGGCACAAAGCCTTTCTCAGTCCATTGGCCTAAAGTCCACAACTGCTGTATCTCTCCGTGCCATAGCCTCTGCCACCGTGTCTGCCGTCACCATTCCCCTAGGTGAGACCTCATGCTCCTCACATCCTCTAACTTCTAGATGGTCTTGGCATCCTTTGTTCCAGAAATGAAAGGTTAACTACTCCTGCCTTTTTGTTACAAAGCTTCTGTAAAATTAATCCTGCTAGCAGTTATTAACAATTGAATCATAAAATCCTGTTGCCATCATCTTCCATTCCCTGTCACGAGAGCCATCTAGAAAAGAGAAGTATTCAGTGGGTATTCTACCTTACCCACTCAAGAAAAAGAACATTTAAAGAACTGTTTTGAAGTACAATGCTGTCTGTGATAGGATAATATCTATACATCTACCAGGAAGACCTGGTGTGGCCCTGTAGGATAAATACTGAAACATATGGTTGGTTTGCACTGCAAGTTTGGTGCTTCAAACTCACAAGCCACTCCTCCTAAATCCTATATAGGTTCACTATGCGTTGGAACCAACTGGACCTCACTTTACAACAACAACAACTAGGAAGACCAGTTAATATCACTGTTATTCAGATTTGTACACCAACCACTAAAGCCAGTGATGATGACATTGAAAATTCTGCCAACTTTTTCAGTCTGAAATTGATCAAACATGCCATCAAGATGTTTTGATAATTACTAGTGATTGGAAATGAAAGCAAGTCCATGGGAGCCAAAATATGACCTTGAATATATCCCACTTGAATTTAGAGATCATCTGAAGAACAGATTTGGTACATTAAACACTAAAGACCAAAGACCAGAAGAGTTGTGGGATAACATCAAGAACATCATACATGAAGAAAGCAAAAAGTCATTGAGAAAACAGGAAGAAGGAAAAGGTCAAAATGTTTTACATAAAGGAATTAATTACTTTATGGTGTTCTCAGCCTTACAGTCTAGAATCCTGTCTATGTCTTAGTTATTACCACATTTTTAGTCTTTAGAAAAAGGTTGTTGCTAAGTACTTTTGATTGTATTTCACTGTGTGTATTAAGAGAAACTGGAGTTTAAAACTTTGTAGGATTTCCTTTCTTATGCTGAGCAGATTTACATAAAGTTAGGTTGTAACTAAAAGAAAATAATGTTCTTATGTGACATTTATGCTGCTTTCCTTCTGGCTAGAAGTTGACAAAGTGATTTGCCCATTTTAGATTACATGTTGATCTGTATGATAAACTTTTAGTAAAATTGTAGGGAGTAGCTCAGTTATTTGGTCCCTCTGTTTATATCCAGCTAATGTACTGTATTTGAATCTAACACTTTTCTTTTCACTCAGAAGTCATTGTATATGTGTAAAACTGGGCTGCTCAATCTTGGTAATCTAAAACTAATGATGTTTTCTATTTATCCTAGTTCAGACTTGGGTCTTTCATCCTGGAGAAAGTTGAAAGCCCAGCTGAGGTCATTAGAGAACTGCTTTGTGACTGCTTGGACACCATTGCAGAAAACCAAGCCAAAAACCAGAACCTGCAGGAAGAAAATGAGAGGCTTCTGAGAGATTGGAATGATGTTCGGGGAAGGTGTGTGGACAATGTGCTTCTATTGCTATTATTATTTTTAATGGTCTTGTAGTTTTAATAACTCTTTATAGTATTGTATAAATATGAGTTTATATGAGTTCTCTTTTTATTATTGTAACTTTAAATATATATGATTGATACATTTACAATGAAGGTTGTTGTTTTATACTATTGAATCGGTTTGACTAATATTGACCCTGTATTGGATTTCTACTCCCATAAAGATTTACAGCCTCGGAAACCCTGTACAGGGTCGCTATGAGTCAGAACCGACTCCACGGCACATAGCAACAACAACAACAACATTGGGTTTCTGAGGATTGGCTGGTGGATTTGAACAGTCAGGCTTGCAGTTCAAACCAACCTGTGGTTATTCTACAGTGCCACATGAGGTATATTTTAAATTCCATAGCACATTGGGTTACGCATAGTGTTGTTAACTGAAAACCTGGCAATTCGAACACACCAGCTGCTTCTTGGAAGAAAGGTAAGGCAGACTGCTTCCAGAAAGATTTGCATCAGAAATCCTATGGAGCAGTTCTCTGCTGCTCTGTTCAGTTGAGTGAGTCAGAATTGACCTGATAGCAATAGGTTCGGTTTTGGTTTGAGGTTTACACTTTATAGAAGTGCATTGACACTGTTAGTACATTAGCATTTGGTGACACCAGCAAACTTGTAATAAGGAGTGATTGGATATCAGGTGTCTCAATTCATTAATATTAATCAAAATGTAAGTAGGGGATATTTATAAGGATTAATGCAACTCAAATGTAAGGACTAATATTGAATACAAAAGGAATGTGAAATACACGCAATCAATTCTTTATCTGTAATCTTTGTTTCAATGGCAGTTATGTCATAGCAAAGCTGCAAGTTGTTGGTGGTGCTGTTGTTAAATGCCATCCAGTTGTTTCCAACCCATAGTCAACAGTATACAGGGTTTCTGAGGAGCTGCTGGTGAGTTTGAACCACTGACCTTGCATTTCAAACTGCTTTGCAGTCTGGCACATTAACCCACAGCGCCACACCAGGGCTCCAAAATTCCTAGTAGAGAAATATTTTTCCCAATTGATTGAAATTTATACTTCCAGACTTTTTTAAAGATGACAGGATTGATACTGGATGACATTTGGAAGACTTCTGAAAAACAAGAAAAGGCATTTAAAAAACAAGAGGCTTTGCCTCTTGTTTTTTAAATGTTGAAGAAGAAAGTGACTTTTCTTTTTAATTATGTTTTCTCATTTATATCACAATTTGGATTGCCTCCAGTGCCGCCTCACTTACTTGAAAGATTTCAGTTTCTATTCCATCATCTCCTGGTGCCTTTAATGTATGTTGGACTTCTTCCTTCAGTATCACTGGCTCTTGATCATATGCTACTCTTGAAAGGATTGAACATCAACCATATCCTTTTGGTATAGTAACTTTGTGTATTCCTTCCATCTTCTGTTGATGCTTTCTGTGTCATTCAATAATTTGCCCAGAGAATCCATTAATAATGAAAGTCGAGTGTTGGATTTTTTCTGCAGTTCCCTCAGCTTGAGAAATGTTCTTCCCTTTTGGTTTTGTAGCTCCAGATATTTGCACTTTTCAATGTAATATTTGACTTTGTATTCTCCAGCTGATCTTTGAAATTTTGTGTTTAGCTCTTGTACCTCATTTCTTTCGTTTGTATTATATTCTTAATATCTACTTACTTATATTTAACTGTTTTATTAAGAAATTATTTATCATATTCTCTTTTAGCTCTGATTTAATTTTTATCTCCAATTATATAAAAATAATAAGACAAACAGAACTACTAGAGTAAAATTTCTGTTTTATTCTTTTTTATATGAAACTGTGTCAAATATTTTTGCCATATATCTGTAGTTTGAATGTGTTTTTCTATTTTAACTATGAAAGAAATCAAACTAAAGGAGATGTACTCTGATAGTGATATGCTATTATATTTAAAATTCAAAATAACCTCAGGATAAATGGAAAATTGATGCACAAATTACCCATAAAAATGCAGACTGGGTACTTGGTACTTGATCAAATTGCTTTAAAATGTCTACTGGAGGTTGAAAGAGGTATTGTCTCATCAGTATTCAACACCACTGCCATAGAATGAAAAGTAGCAGAGAATGAAAATGTGAGGCAGTGGAGACAAATGCCCCTTGTCCCTGAGGGGTTCATATATATAGCCCATAAATGCTTAATTTGTTATTTCTGAACTATTCACAAAGTGCTTTTGTATTATTGTAGCTAAACATTTCCTAGTTGGTCAAAAGCACAGCCATGAACCTTGCCACCTTACTATGCTTTCTGCATGCCGGTCATTTATTTGACTTACTGATTCTGACATCTTCATGGACTAAAGATGTCGGTCATTGGAATGGCCCTTTGAACAGAGAGAGGAGTCTGCCCTGTGGAGAATTCTAGACTCTTAATTGTATACCAGATGTATACCAGTAGCTTTATCTATTTCCCAAATTTAATTGTCTCTTTTATCAGAGAAGAAATGGCTGTTTGAAGGATCTGAAAATGCATGCTGGACTCCTGATAGTGGTGCTGTAGGCTAAATATTGGACTGCTAACCATAAGATCAAGGGGCTCTGGTAGCGTAGTGGTTAAGAATCGGGCTACGAACCTTAAGGTCAGTAGTTTGAAACTACTGCTGTTCCATGGGAGAAAGATGAGGTGTTCTGCTCCCGTAAAGATTTACAGCCTCAGAAACCCTTTACAGGGTCACACGACACTTTACAACTACCACCAACAATCATAAGATCAGAGGTTCAAATCTTCCCGCCAGTCCTTCGAAATCCCATGAGTCAGATCCAACTCTGTGATACATAACAAGTGCATACAGGTTATGGCCAAGGTACTTTTTTTTAGTGTGCTCTTATTAAAGCCTTGTTGTTGTTGTTAGGTTGTGTTGAGTTAGTTCCGACTCTTAGTGACCCTACACACAACAGAGCAAAACACTTTCTGGTCCTGCCCCACCCTCACAATCACCACTATGCTTGAGCCTGATTGTGCTGCCACTGTGCCAGTCCATCTTGTTAGGGGTCTTTCACTCCTTGGCCGACCCTTCACTTTACCAAGCATGAAGTTCCTCTCTAGGAACTTGTCTCTCCTGATAATATGTCTGAAGTATGGTAGATGAAGTCTGTCCATTCTGGCTTCCAAGGAGCATAGTATGGCTGTACTTCTCCCAACACAGATTGGTTTGTTCTTCCGGTAGTGCATGGTACTTTTATTATTCTTCTCCAACACCATAACTCAAATGCATCAATTCTTTTAAGGTCTTCCTGATTCATTTTATAACTTTCATATGCATATGATACTATTGAAAAATACCATGGCTTGGGTCAGGTGCACCTTCTTACTCAAATCTAAAGCCTTGTGCTGGCACCTGGAGGGGCAGGTTTGCAGAGTATGCCCTTTGGTTGTTTGAATGGTTTTATATTCCTTAGTGCTTTGTTGTACATCAAAAAAACCCAGAGGGAATGGAAGCAAATGCTGTTGAATGATGATGCATGGAGGGGATTGTAATCATTGCAATGAAACTAAATACAATAGGATGAATGTAAAGCTGATGTTCTGCCATGTAAACTATCACTCAATTCACAATAAAAACTTAAGTAAAAACAATTAAAGCCTTGCAAACCTATTGCCATTAAATTGATTCCAACTCATAGAGACACTGTAGGACACAGTAATAGCCCATAGCATTTCCAGAGTAATCTTCACGAAAGCAGAGTGTCACATCTAACTACTGGGAAGCAGCTGGTTGGTTTGGTTAACTGCTGAGAATTTTAACCACTGTACCACCAGGTTTCTGACTAGAGTATACTAGTATACTGGAAAATGAGCAAAAGATATACAGGTTGATCTTTCATAAGGCAATGTTGTTGTTTTACTGTGCCGTTGAGTCAGCTCCAACTCATAGTGTACCTGTATATGGTTTCTGAGGTTGTAAATCTTTATGGAAGCTGAAAGTTCATGTTTCTCTCACAGAGCAGCTGGTGACTTTGCTGACGTGCATAAGGCAGTAGTACTGGGTAAGTCTAGGTCCTTAGAGGATATTAAGTAGAGGTCATCAGCATGCTATAATATAACGGGATATAGGTAGTTAGAGCATCATTAGCTATGGGGCCATGATGTTATACCTGGTCACAGTTTGGTTTGCTGGACAGGCTCTGATTATCCCGTTTCAGTGTACATCCATGACCCAACCATTTCTTCCCCACCATTGTTCCAGACTGTGTATGTGTACATGAAGGGGTGGCAGAGGAGCACAAATAACAATCATAGACTAGCTTCAGAGACACTTAGTATAGAATATTTTATATATAAGCAAAAACAATCATTTTTACATGTGCTGATGAACATGAAAATGTGTTCATGATGCATTAAGAAGAGAAACGTGACTTATCAAAAATATGAATAGTATTTTAGGGACAAAATTTATGTTTATATAATTAATATCTAGGAGAAAGTTAAATGTTAATAATGTAGGTCTACAATTTTAAATTAAGTTTCCTTCTACTGTTTTGGGATTAATTTTTGCAAATATTTTAGAATATAAGTTTATATCACTACTAGAGCAAATTATAAAGCTGTTTTCATTTCAAATGATGGTGCAAAATAAATAATATTTGAGTGAGGCCTGAGGAATTACAGTTTGCATAAAACAGCAAGCTTAAATGTATAAAGCTTTAGATCCTATATTTGCTATTGTTTATGTGCTGTTTAATAATCGTGTTTTTTGCTAATTTTGAATAAGTGATATTAATGGATTCACTTGATTTTATGTAATTTAGATTAAAGAGGAAACATTAGAAGTTGTGTTTGTGAATCCTTAGATTATCAGCTCTATTTATTTTACTGGTTTTCCTATTCAGTTTCAAATTACATCTCTCATTTTACACAGTGCTGAATAGGTCTTTTGTTTGCCCTCAGACATCAAGTTAGAAACTCTCTGGCTTTATTCTGAGTTATAATAATTAAACCCATAATTGGAGGCAGTTTTCAGCAAATTCAATTGGGTTGACACTCATGGAATCTTTAGAAGAGTCCTTTAAAGCTGTCCTACTTCAGCACTCTGCCTTTAAGCTAGAATCACATTATATCTAGATGAATTCAATCCAAGCTTTAAAGACCTCAAGAGATATATTCAACTCCCCTTGGTAGCCCATTACAGTGTTTAAGAACGGTCACAGGCAGAAAATTCATCCTTCCATTTATTGGTAATCTGAATCCTTCATGGTATAGTTGAAGGTCATTTCCTCTTGTCCTGTCATCAGAAAGGATGAAGAACAGCTGTTCACCATCTTGTTCAGTACTTACAGATTTATTAAATATCTTTACCACTGCTTTACAGTTTTTTTTCTCCCCTAGTCTTATTGTATTCTTTGCCATTTGAAATCTATTCAGATTTTCTTTTGCTGAACAACCTTGGCTTGAATACAATTGTAAATTTAACCAGATCTGATTGTAAACATGATAATCACTACATTGTTTCTAAAGTACCATATATTCACATTATGTGTATCTTTTGTTTTATTTTGGGTTGTCATGTAATCTATTTTTTTATGTTAATCTTGCAAAATACTGCCTTATTTTTGCTGTAATTTTTATTGTTATTATTAAAATAATATTCGTAGATTATTTTCCCATCTATAAATATTATCTTGAACTTTGTTCCGTATTCAGTTTTCACCTGTATGGTAGTTATTTGCTGTGGAGTCGGTTCTGACTCATAGTGACCTTGTACAAGGTTTCCAAGGCTGTAAATCTTTACGGGAGCAGAAAGCCTCATATTTCTGCTGCGGAACAGCTGGTAGTTTTGAACTGCTGTCCTTGCAGTTTGCAGCCCGATTCATAACCACTACACTAGCAGAGCTCCTTTTACCTATATAGTTTAGATTTCTTTTTTTTTTTTTTTTTGTAATTACTATCTACTTATCCTAAGTCCTAGATATCTCTGTTTCAGGTTCCCAATTAAACTTAGCATTATTGCTCTGTTATCCTAGACGCATTTGAAAGGGTAACACATCACTAGGCCTTTCCTAGATGATGTTATTTATGGTTTTATTAGATTTGAACTTTGCCTTGAACATGACCCTGGGACTAGTTGTGGCTGACTGTACTTACATGAACACTCTCTTTTAATGTCATTCAGTTTAAGTTCCATGTTTCTCCTTCACTAAATGGTTCTACCTAATCCTTCTGTCCAGTTCTTCAGAAAGAGAGTTGGTAATAAGCAAGTAAGGCATAGAACCATCATAATGTTACAGGAAAGGATTGACATAAAATGGGGTACGGCTGAATGCAGTGCATTGCTTATGGATTGAATATTGAGTAAAATGATAGCATTCTCACCAACGGTTGGTTGAGAAATTCTGAAGATTGAATTCATGCCCTTACACTGTTCATCATACTACTCTGTCCAGCTAACCTTCATTCCAAGCCTTGTCTAGGAAGTTTAGCCAATTTGATGATCAGAATTGTGGTTGCAACAAAATTCTAAAGCCTTTCTGAGACCAAGGAATTGATTTTAGCATGCTTTTAGAAAGAGTGATACCATTTATACTATTGAGTGTGTCTTCCTATTACACAAATGTTTTGTTTTATGAAGTAGTTCTGACATTGATTATTTAGATTATTAATATTCTTCAGGCAAATTACCTGATAATTTATTTTGGTATTCATTTGCATTGTTAAATACATGTGTTATGCCAAATGTTAATTTAAAAAAGGGAGGAAGTTAGGAAAAAGTTTGGTAGTTGTAAAATGCATACTTTTAAGTAAAAAAAAAAGTATTGTTACATGTTGTTGTTGCTAAGAGCCATTGAGTCCGTTCTGACATAGCAACCCTATGTAGGGTTTCCAAGGAGCAACTGGTAAGTTTGAACCACTGACCTTGTAGTTTAAAGACCTTGCAGTCCAGTGCCTATCTTACAGTGCCATACCAGGACAGACTGAATATAAGCTCTTAGACATGCTTAAACACGTCTCAGAAATCAGTGGATGACTGTAGACAAGTTTTCTCAGTAATATATTTGTCTTAGACTTGTCATTAGGTGCCATCTAGTCGGATCTAACTCATAGCCACCCTTATGGAGAACAGAATGAAACACTGGCTGGCCCTGTGCATTCCTCCTCATTGTTGTTATGTTTGAGTCCACTGTTGCGGCCACGACATCAGTCCATCCTTTTGAGTCCTCTGAGGATGCCAGAATTGCCTTTTCGGATTGGTGTAAATTGATGAAGGCAGAATTCTTCACGGTTTAGAGAGGAAAAACTGCCTTCCATTGTGTATAGGCCTAGATGGAAGATACTTAAAGAAACAATAGCTTCACAATTTGATGTTTTGACTTAATAAAGGTTTCTATGATTTTGTTGCAATACTCTTTGACTTACCTTTGTAGACTAGATCAATTATTTAAAAATGAAATAAGATTGTGATTGCTATCCTAGCAATAATAACAAAGCACTGACCAAGGAAAATGGCTGTAATTGCTCTTGTTTGAAATGTTTCCTATAAGAATGATTTGGGAAATAGACAACAGATATAACCAATGATTACATTCAGGCATTAAAAAAATTTTTTTAAGTTTTTCTGGTATCAGCTTTCAATTTTAAAACTCATCTCATAATTATTAATTTAAGTGCATAAATTGTTACCATTTTTAGCCATTAAGTTGTAATTATTTGCTTTAAGTCAATGTAAGAATAATTTTAAATTGTATTTTGCTCTCAGAGCTTTCTGGAAATCATCTTAAGTATTAGACTACTTAGTATTAATGATAAGAAAGCTGTGTGATTTATTTATTTATCTATTTTAGATTCGAAAAATGTGTGACTGCTAAAGAAACTTTGGAGACTGATTTGTATGAACGATTTATTTTGGTGCTGAATGAGAAGAAAGCAAAGATCAGAAGCTTACATAAATTGTTAGGTGAAGTTCAAGAACTAGAAAAGAACACTGAGCATGACAGGTATTTGGCCTTTCTACTTTGGGACAATGTTTCTCTGCTATGCATAGAGTTTTCAGTGACTAGCGATTCGGAAGTAGTTTGTCACTCTTTCTTCCTAGTCTGTCTTTGTTTTGTAGCTCAT